GCTGGCAAAGCCTCCCTCAAAATGTCTCATCCTGGGGAATCCTTAGCACCTTGTATCTCTCATCAGAGAGCTTCTGTGTGTTTTGCCATCTTAACCCAACGGGACTCTCAAGAATTCGCTCTAAAGCCGTTGGTGTCACTGCATATAATGAATTCACATCTCTGTCTCACCTACCCTGGTATGATGGCAGCTCTGTATCAGCTGTGGGAGAATCAGACAGTGCTCACTCAGATCAGGTGGTTTTATTTTCATGTGGAACCCCACTTGGGAGAGGTTCTCCCTGCCTACCTGGTAGAGTGGTGGTCAGGAAATTCATGAATTGATCTGAACCAATTATGAAATTCCTTTGGAATTGCCTTTTGGACCTATAAGCCGGCACAGAGTAAACCAAAGTGCAGGGCCGAAGTTAATGCCACATGTCAACAGCTTTTTCTGCCTTCAAGGTTAAAGGGCACTGGTGTAGGGAAGGAACTGATTTGATTAAAGATCTGTTGCACGCCTACCTTCACCCGACGTTCAGGGAGCTACACCACCGATGTACCGGGGCACACAGGATATTGTCATAGGGACCCACCAGCGTATAGAACTTTGGCTGGCAGTCGCCTGTTGTCAGGCATGTCTCGACTTCCCAACTGCTGTGCTTTAGCATGAAAGAGCTGTCAACTGCATGCACTATCCCCACCGCCAGTATAGGGAAATGATCTTTTGGGTGTTTCTTCTGATTTGCACCGTCATATTGAATTTGCTACCTCCTAACTCCAGGTTACCTCTGGAACCTCCAAGTGAAACTTCAGCCCATAGTAAATCTCTTGCCAGATAAAGGAAGACTCATGGACTTTCTCCTCCAGAGGAAGGAGTGCAAGATGGTCATCCTCTCTGTCTGTTCGCAGAGTAAGTGACTGTCCCCACCTGAGTCATCTCAGGCCTGTGCTGCCCACAGCTTTCATTGGGAGGTGGGACACATTTTTATGCCTTGTCGGTAGCCTGTAGCCCCATTCTTTTCTTAAAGGATGGATTATTTAATCCACTGGGGAGGTTGACTTGTACACTTTGGTACAAGAGACTGACCAGGATGCCTCCAGATGAGAGCAGTGAACACGAGTGCACTGCAGTGAGCTTCCACGCCTACCTTTGCCACAAACTTCCTTCAGCACCCACCAGTCGCACATGCGCATCCACCTACGGATCGTCTGCTAGTATCCCCCTTGGCTACTTTAGTAACCAGAAAGGGCTGGTGGGTGATTCTGAGGCTTCAGCGCTCTCCATTTCTCTGAATGCCCTTTAAAAGTATGTTTGCACTGGAAACCCGGGGGTTACGTTTTTTTTGCCACAGCGATGTTTGTCATTGACCTGGGTAAACATTGATTCCTTTTAGTGTTAAGTGAGTCCGACAGAGCGACCTTGCCTGTAATAGCCACCGTTTTCGACAAACTCAACCTCGAGTATAAAAGGTATCTGGATGCTGAACAGAGCTACACGATGGTAAGCTGCTGCGCTGCGGCTCCTCCACCCCGGCCCTGTTTGTTTTCTAAGTAATTTCAACGCGAGATTCTGACAGAATCGCATCACTGAGGTTTGCTGTGGCCATAACGTGGCGACCAAGTATTCCACATTCTTGCTTCCCATTGCTGGAAGCCGCATGTCACTTGATGTCTTCATCTTTGGGGGGTTTTAATTTGCTCTTACCCATAGATAGAGCCTTGTCTGTCTACACATAGATAGATCCTGCTGCATGGACACATCTCACCTTTGCATCATTTCGTACACTAGCCAGAGCCTAGATTCAGTAATTAGAAATGTAACCATTTTGCCACATCAGCTTCCTTTCCTTTTAGGATATAGTAATTACAAAAGTAAGCGTGATCCTGACATATAGTAAATATCCTATTAGGATAGTGAGGATTAAATGTCAGCACTGTGCTTTTCATAGTTCACATGTATTTGTTGTGAAGGGCTAGAAAAAGTTAACATGATTTGTTACCAGGTTCTTCAGCTAGAAAGAAGTTTAGGACAGGTAGAATTATTTCACTTTAGGGATCGGATTTGACTTAAAGTGGTTTTAAACATTAAAACCCCAGGACCACTTGTTTTTAGCTACTCCAGGGTGAGGACTGAGGCTAGCTGCTGAAGGCTGGGCGACCTGGGAACACGTGTCTGTCCCTGTCCCTCCTCCTGTTAGGCATAGAGTGCTGAGCTCATCTAGATCCTTCTATGGTCCTCCGGCTAGTGTACAGTGGAAGTCAGGGCTGATCCCAGTGGTAGTGGCTGCCCTGCAGTTTTATAAACCCTGCTGTTGAGAGCGGCCCACCGGAAGCAGGGGGGCCTCTGGAGCTTCTTAGATGCAGCTCCTGTAGTGTCTGTTGGCCTAAGCTGCTTTACAAAGTTAGGTGAAGGAGGCAAGAGGTTCTCACACAACCTCCCTGTTCAGTCCAACTTGGGGAGTCTCACCGAGCACTTCAGTGATGGCCACTTACTGAAGGATCAGGGCGTCATAGAATCAAGCAGGAAACCACTTCATGTGTTGAAACAATGCCCTATTTTTTTAAGAGGTTAAACTGCCTCGAGAAACTTTTGACTTATACTTTTTTTCTTTTATTTCATCCATGGACACTGGTGTATTTTCAAAATGACCAGGTCTGACTTCCTAAATCATTTCCTCAGCCAACTAAGGAGATTTTGTCCAAATAACGTCATGCTCTGCTCTTATCTGTCTTAGGTTCTTGAAATTTGGTCTTTTTGGATTCACTGCATTTACCATTACCTAGGTGGGACTGAGATGACAGTTGTAATTTATTGTCTAGGCCATGGAAGCAGGGCAAAGCCGGAGCAGTCCCCTCCTCAAAAGGCCGCTGCGGACCCAAGCCGTGGTCGACCAGTCTGACATGTACACCCATGTCCTGTCAGTGTTCACGGAAAAGAAGGTGGGTAACCAATGGTTTGTTGGCCTCTCCTCACCTCAACCAGTGTCTCAAAACAAGTATAAGTGACGGAGCTGAGGAATAGTAATAGAACCCATTGTGTGATTAGATTGACAGTGTCTTGGGTGAGGGCCCAATGCTCTTGGATTGGCTAATACTCAGGCCTAAACATCTTCGAAGGAAGAAGGGTCTGGAGGGATTTGGACAAAACCAGCAATAGAATATTGGTTAATGTGGAAATGGGTGACTGTATAAATGGGGGTTGCATGGAACTTCCTTTGCAACTATTTCTTAGATCACTTTTTTCTTCTCTGTAGGAGATGCCTCATAAATTTGTGATATCTGTACTGATGGAGTATATTCGCTCTCTCAACCAATTTCAGATCGCAGTACAGGTACCTTCATATAAGCATTTGCTCCAAGTTTTACAATAGCAGGGAATTAAGATATGAAGTGTACTTTTTTGGTAACTGAGATGACTTAGTTATAAGCTAAAGGGCCAGCCTGCTTGCCCATCTGGGTGATGGGTGACTTTGATGCTGCCAACATGCTATTCTTGGTTCATTCCAAGTGGGATTCATTCACCTGCACATTGAACCACCTCCCTCAAGAACAAACTTTTACCCACCAGTTAGGATAGCTGCTGATCCTCCCCACCCCCAACAGTCTGTTGTATCTGAGCCACTTGGAGACATTCTTTGTTTTGTCTTCAGCATTATTTACATGAACTCGTGATCAAGACGCTGGTCCAGCACAACCTCTTCTACATGCTGCACCAGTTCCTGCAGTACCATGTCCTCAGTGACTCCAAGCCTTTGGTACGTATCACCATGTATTTCTCTTACGATGAGAAACTTCAAATTTTAACTTCCAACTTTCTTATGCTGAAGCTAGGCTGAACATGTGTCTTTCAGGCTTGCCTGCTGTTATCCTTGGAAAGTTTTTACCCTCCTGCTCATCAGCTCTCTCTGGATATGCTGAAGGTGACTGATCTAGCCAAGGTTTAAACTGCCTAAAATTCTGCCCCGTTCCTTGCACTTACTCAGACTTCTTTTTTCCCCGTCTAGCGACTTTCGACTGCAAATGATGAAATAGTAGAAGTTCTTCTTTCCAAACATCAAGTGTTAGCTGCTTTAAGGTTTATCCGGGGCATTGGTGGTCACGACAACATTTCTGCACGGAAATTTTTAGATGCAGCCAAGCAGACTGAAGATAACATGCTTTTCTATACTATATTCCGGTTCTTTGAACAACGAAACCAGCGTTTGCGAGGGAACCCTAATTTCACACCAGGTGAGAACAGAGCCACAATGAAAGGACCTCCGCCAACTACACATTTGAGAATACTGGCAGCTTGTAGGCAGGGGGACTCTTGGGAAATTTGCTTTTAGAAAAATCTAGCCTTCCTATTTGTAGTAAGAATGGCGGTTAAGCCAGTGGATGTCACTTTGACATAGAGAGGTTCAGGACCCAAATCAGGTGGTTTGGGCACAGGTCACCTTGAATATCCCTTTCTGAAGAACCAGGAAACAGTGGGATCAGGGTTTTAAATGGCGTGGTGCTTACTGATTAGCCACTCTAGGGAATGTATTACCCGGTAGGTTAGATGGCGATTTCTCGGGGCTGTGAAGCATCTGACCAGTCCTGCAGTGGTAGGGAGCACAGAAAGGACAACTCAAAAAAAGCTTAGGAAAACACAGTATTTTATGAGAGAAAAATAAGTTAAAACCCCAGTACACACATCTATGAGCTATGAAGAGTTCATTCGCTGCTTTTCTTCTTTTTGTGCCACGTCAAATGGTTTAAATCTGTATTTTCCTTTACAGGAGAACACTGTGAAGAACATGTTGCTTTTTTCAAACAGATTTTTGGAGAACAAGCTCTGAGGAGTTCTACAACATTCTGAGATCACTTGTTAGTTGTCTTTTTTATATATAAAATGTGTACAAAGTTAATTTATTGCATTAATAAAGCTCTAAACTATAAAATGTTATAGTAAACTATCCACAACGTCCTCAAATGTTACTAAAATATGGTAAAGAACTTGTGATGGCTTACTCCTAAAAAAGAGGAGAAACGTGGCATTGATTGGCCTTTAAAAAAGTGTCAGTGAGCAGATCATGTCCATGGGCATCCTAGTGTCACCTCCCACTTACTGAAGAGTCGGGTTTCCCTCCTGGAGAGTTGGAGTCTGGTTGCCTTCCCACTTAGCAATATGCTTCACAGGTTTGTGTTCCTGAGTTTAAAGGCTCTTTGGCCAGAGCGCTGCGGTTTCAAGAGCCTCATGTTTGGTAACATCCAGTGTTCCGTCAACTTCACCTTGACAGTGCAGCCTACTTACTGTCCAGTGGGAAACTGACCGACCTGCAGACACAGTTCAAGGTCCCTGAGCCTCTAAGAGGGCTAGAAATTTAGGAGGTGTTCTCGTTCTGTACCTTTGTATCGCTCTCGAGTGACCAAACTTTTGGATTTATTTACTGATGGTCCTATGGGGGATAAAAAGAGATCGTTTGTACAGCAGAGCTTCTACAGCAACACAACCCTTCATTTTCTCAAATGATTTCAGTGCTTCCAGTTAGTTTCAAAGCTATATATCAGTCAAATTTGTACTATTCACCTTTCAATCACAGGTCATTCATGGAAGCCGAAGTGGCCAGAGAAGCACAAAGATCATAAGGGTGATCTCAGAATAAGAGATGAGTAGCAGAGGCAGCATTTTGCCAGGACAGCAAATCAAAAGGGGAAATAAAGCTGTTGTCTGGCACTGTTGGGTCAGCTCCGTCATTGCCCTCTCAGGCAGGGTGGGGCCGCAGACCTCAGACTCATTCACAGCTGACCTTAGGGTCTTACTCAGAAGATGAGTCAGGCCCCCTGGACGTGGTGAGCAGTTTACTAATTAGTCTGTACAGTCAAGCCCTGGGAGACTTTCTTCTCATGTTTTTACTAAATACTATTTGTTAAGTGATCATTAGTAGAAGTTCAGATGCTTCAAGACTACAGCTTTGGTAAAGTGCTTCCTCCTACCTCACCTGTTTAAAAATAAGACTCTTACCGATGTAACTGAGTAAGACAGGGAGGAATATTAATCCATGAGTAGCTCCTAGTAAGACCATAGCTAAATACATCCTGAAGTAAAATATCTGGAAAATCTGAGATTTAGCAAAGGCCAACACCACAATCCCTCCAAACTTTGTTAGTGTGATTCCACTGAGTACCTAAAAGAAGAGAGATGGTGTCAGAAGCCAGGTTCACCAACCTATAATTGAACACATCCTTTCTTAACAGTCAAAATAGCAGGGTTGAACCCCATCCTGCTTGCATAATTACTAAAAAGTAGCATTATATTCTAAAATTGCCATAGTAATTCTGCAAAGGTAAATAAGGAGAGAGTTAAACCAGGAAGATTCTCTAAACATCAAGTACAGACTGCACAGTGGGCTCTGGGTCATGGTGCTTCCCTTGACTGCAGAGGCTGTGTTTAAATGGAAGACGTATAGCGCTTTTGACTCCAACTTGCCTTACTGTAGTGACAGCTGCCTACAAAGGCTTCACCTAACAGGAATAGTTTGAAGAAAATTATTCAGGACTCTGCAATATACAGCTATTACATGAATTGCCTGAAATTTATAATCCTTACGAGCTGCTGCTAAAGGATCCACATTCTATTTTCCTCACTGACATCTGAACTTCCTTCTGAGAAACAGTTGCTGAACTAGGCACTTGATGTTGGAACTTCTGCCCACGCTATCCTGTTGGGCTACTTACAGAGCTGCCCATGTGAGAGAGCGCCTCTTCTGCTCGTTCCATGCGGCTCCCCTTCGCACTCACCGTAAACGCTCTCGTAATGTGGCTGCAGAACTCCACGGAAATGCCACAGCTCTGAAATAAAGCGCCCTTTTACTACCTTTTCCAGCCGCTAAGCAGCAGCCAGCCCTCCCCAGCACCTGTGGCTGCCCAGGGCAGCCTGGGCGTCCTCTTTGAGAGAGCCTCTTTCCATGACATGGGGGAAAAGTGTGGAACTCTTAGTGCCAGAGGCTATGGCCCCTGCTTCTATAGCAGATTTGCCCCTATCAGGGGAAGTAAAACTCAAGGCTACTCTTGCCCCCACCTAGCCTGGCTCTGGCATCATTTCTGTGGTTGGGCAGTGAGGCCTGGATCAGTGTTCACATCTGAACTCTACATTTTCCATTAATATCTTCTCAAATGCACACATCTTCAAAAGACTATCAAAATGTCCTTGTCAACTGCAATAGGAGGCAAACGGTCAGGGAATTGTTGGGGGTGGGGCTGAATAAAAAAATATCTTGCTAGCATTAGGCAAGGTGGTTTTGTAAACCTTTCAGAATAAGCAAGACAGAGACTAGGTATCATAGTTTCATTGTTAGCTGCACTGTCCTCATCCCTATTCCACTGAGCACTCATCCCCCCTCTCTGTGTGCACCAAAAGCAAGAGCTGGACTTGGTATTTTACCCCAAGAAACAATTCACCTAAGTCAGGGGTTAAGGACAAAACAAGAGGCCAAGGACTCACCATAACCAAGTTGACCAAGGAGACAGCGTTCAGACTGATGCCCCACAGCCACATGACTCCAAACATGTTAACCAGGATCATGGCGATGGTGACGCACATGATCACTGCAGACCACAGCTCGAAGCCCAGCAGAACCATAGTCACCAGGAAGATGGCACCCAGGGACACGCTGAGGTTGAAGATGGTGTCATCAATGATGGTCAGGTACTGCTCGTAGAAGACATAGAAGACACTGCGGGGGAGTGGGGAGGTGCTGTTAAAGCTCGCTCTCACTTCCGGACTCCTGTTTGCCTCCTGCCATTGCTGCCAAACTGTGAAACTCTTGCAGAGATGTTCCCTGCTGTGTCCCAAGACTCATCGACAGGATTTCAGTTCAATCTTTGATGGTCACTGATGTCCCAAGAAGGGCCTAGTAATGATCCCAAATGTGTATAGAAAAAAATTTTCTTTTATGCCACTTTATAGGTATTCACGAGGAATATTCCATGATATTTTGAAAAACATCCTGACCTATCCTGAGAATTACCTTGGGCCAAATAGATTGTGGGCAGAACTTTGGGAGAAAATGCCTGTCTTGTGAAATGAAACGGTCCTTTCCAGGAATCAGGACACCTGCTATGAGGAACTGCCCACGATGAAACAGGCTGACCCCCTGCAGAGGACAGGTCAGGCCTCTCTTAAGCAAGAACATACAAGTGGGGGCGTGGAGGGATCACCTCTTCCTCCTTTCTATATTTTCTAAGTTCTGTAGTTTATATATAATACTATTTTTATGGGGGGGGGGGAGAAAAAAACCCCAGTACACACACATGAAAAAATCTCCATAAAGGCACCATCCCAACTAAGAGACCCTCTAGTTACTGGGCACACATGTCCGCTCTCTGTGAAGCCCCTATTTGTAAAACTGAGGCCCCCATTTATAAAACTGCACTCACCTGTATGGGAACACCCTGTAAGTACCTTCTTCGAGGCCCATGGTTTTGGTGATGTTACTGGCAACAAGGCGGGCTTTTCTCATGGCATCAATGAAGTCAGCAGAGGTCCGGAGCACAGTGTGGTAGGTCATAAAGTACGTGGCTCCGACAGCCATGTCGTTGTCAAGGATGTTAACTGCAGAGCCGTAAGCAGCATGACCCCTGGAGGAGGTTCAGTGGTGTCAAAAAAGCCCAGGTCCTGTAAGCATCTGCAGAAGTGGGAACTCCAGGCTAAGGGAAGCCATCTGAGCCTGGGTTCAGAGGTCAGACCATGCTGTAAATTTCAGGGGCATGGCATGGTAGGTGCCCTGCACGGGAACAGGTAAGCTTCTAGCTTGTTCTCTCCCACACTGTGTACTTTGATTTCTCTGGTGCATTCACTGCCATTGCCTTTACATCTTGTTCTGATTGCAACCAAAATGTGCTTTCCGACAGTTTACTAAGGAAGCAGCGAAGGGCAATAGGCCTGCAGTCTGATGGCTGTGCAAAGGCCCACAGCCCTGCCGTTACTAGTCATGGAATCCTAGGCAAAGTTACAGACTTTGGGCTATAGCTCTGTCTTCTAGAACCAGCTGTCCCACTGCCCACTCACAGGCTGCATGATGAGTAAGTAAAATAATGTCAGTGAGGTGCCTGGCACAATAATGGCAGTAGGAGGCTTCCTTTAAGTGGTGGCTGCTGCCTTCATGAACACTGAATTCATGTTGACTTATTTTCTGTAGGCCAAAGCATTCAGTCTGCAAGCAGACCAGGCTGTAAGAGTCATTGTTATTCTATTTGCAGGCACAGTTTTCCCCCAGGACCCAGCAGAGGTGCCCAACACAGACGTGATGATGTGTGACAACTAGCAGACAGGCCAAATCAGTTTTCTCCAGCAAATCATAGATGTCCAGGGCTCTCCTCAGTATTGCGGACACTTAGTTAGTCCTTCTAACAGAGCTTCCAAATCACACGTCCCTACCATCTCCCCTCCCACTGAGATTTCCTGGCCAGATATCCTGCTTCCCTGGGCAACTGGCTGCCTGGCTGGCTGGGTGGGTGAAGACAGCTCATGACCTCGGGTATGGGCAGGCTGGCAAGAAGAACCGGGGGGCTAAAACACAACACTTAGTCTAGGATGACAGCATCAAAGCAGAGGGGCTGTCTGCCACGCCACAGCGACAGCCTGCTTCACATTCTACAATGCTGCATGTGCTCCTGCCACCCCTTTGCCCCACCAGTGCCTTGCATAGGGGCTTGCATCCATGCTGGCTGCCGGGAGGGCCAGGGACAGAAGAAATGCCAGGCCAGGAGGACATCAGTTGACTCCGATGAGTCTTTAGTACAGGTGTTTTGAGTTTCTTTGCCTTTACAGAAGCATTCAGGACAGGATTGGAAGGGATGGAAACTGAAGGGTCTTTTCCATTGACTGTTTCTACCCCAGCCCATTCCCATTTTCCCATGCATGGAAGAGGATGCAGCTGAGACTGAACGGTCCATGGACTTACCCTTTGCCACATTTAGGGTTTGGATTATCGAAAAGGAACATGGGCAGGAATCTCAGGAAGTCTTCACCCTGAGGTCTCTGCTTGCCCTCTGGAGTCAGGGGCCTGCAGCGCGTGCAGGCCGGGTCAACCACTGCCAGAGACATGGGAGGAGCCACGGTGAGAAGGATGGTCTCCAGATTTTAAAACTTAAAAACAGTGATAACGAAATAAGGGTATTGTTTTCCTGAATCTTTTTCCTTATCTCAAGGCCTCAAATGTGTGATTTTTAGGCTAATGCAGCTGAGATGCCATCTTTAGCTAAAGCAGGTTGTACCAATTTTCTCTCCATGAGGGGGTTTCCTGTGTTAAACATGGCCCCCATCAGAACTATCAAGAGAATTCCAGGACGACCTCAGTACTCTTACAAAACTACAGGGTGACACTAATAGACCAAGGAAAGCACAATTATGAGGTACCCTGGCCAGACACCAATCACAACAGGGAATCAGTGTTGAGAAAGGAGGAGAGAAGCCTGAGCTCTCTGAAAACCAAGACTCTGGCCTTGTTCAGCCTGCAGCCCCAGATGGGCTTCTGAAAAGAGGAATGGAACATTTGCAGGGCATGAACCCCTTCAGGAAAGGGGTGATGGCAAAGGAAATGAGACCTAGCATTGACATACAAACGTGTATAAAATTCCCCATAAATAACATGTGAGATACAAATAACTGTTCAATGACAGCCAGAAGCTCAACATTTTGTTCTTTTTGTTCCAAGACTGGTGTGTATGAAGCAAACCTGGTACTTATAGAGGACTTATACCTTGTTTGTTTCCCTTAAATCCAGTCTCTAAGAACTGATGGATTATGTGAAGTGAGGTCTTACTGCACAGTGTTAGAGATATTTCAGAAAAATGGGGAAGGTTTGGAAAAGGAGATGGAAATACCTGACGCGTTGCAGAACTGATCAGTGCTATTGTAGATTCTACAGCAAGATGACTGGGGCTTAATCCAATCAAAGTAATCATCAATCCATGACGAGGGAGCAAAGCCTATTCGGGTACTAGGCAAAAGGAGAGGGAAAAAAAAAAAAAGCAGTTATTGGTGCCGCAAGGAGGAAGTCTTCACTTTCAGCCCTTGAAAACTACTTCTGGATTTTAAACTGCTACTCGGTCAAAAGACAGAGTACGTTAGTATGTCACTGAAAACCTTCAGCCTGAAATGGCAGATTAGCCTTTTAAAAGGTTTTCCTCAGGTAAAGCCAGGCTTAGTATACATTTCAAAGAATACATTTCTAAGAACGTCTAGTTTCAGTGAAACATTTCCGGCCAGATTTGGCCCCTCAGACTGTTTCCGTGCAGGACAGGAGGCTGGCGGTACTGACTAGTTGTCCAGCTGGGCCGCATTGAACAGCTGCTGCACCAGGGAGTCGTTGTTGCAGCCCATGCCCCCGCACACCATGTTCTGTCCCTTCAAAGTGGTATAGTTGTGCCCCTCCTGCAGGACGAAGTAGACGGGCGGCCCTGCGTGCAGGTACTGGCTGAGGGACTTGAAATAGTCCATCACGTAGGAGTCCTGAAAGAAAGCCCCCCAACAGGACAAGGGTGAATGGTCTGAGGTGTTTCAGTGGGATGAGAGATCACTCACAACCAGAGGGCACTGGAAGGCTTCAGGCCGAGATGCCGGCAGGCCTCTGGGATTCTCTACATAGCTATACATTCCCCAAGCATCCCGGATCCAGGTTGCTCCTCTGACTGGTCACCTCACTGGCTGCTTATATTCCGTGGCCATGCCCCCAGAGGCTGTCTGAGAGCTCAGAATGCCAGGCCCACACTGACAGCTTGGTGGGAGCTCCCATTACAGGCAGGAACTGTTAGCGCCTTCATTTAGAAGTGGGTATATTCATTAGCTTGAAACACCCCCATGCAAGTTTTGAAAAATTTATCCACCACTAACTAAGTTGAAATAAAAAAGAAAGCACCTTACATCTGGCATTGAAAGAGACTGATCCAATCCAATCTCTACTTTGTTCAGGACCGCGATACTGAATGACAGGACACCCACAAATACTGCTATCTGGAATGAAAAGTGAGTTATAAGACAGTGATTGCAAGGGCCTTAGGAACATACAATCTCAAACACAAGAAAGAGGTTTTTCTAAACTAAAGAGCAAGTTTAAATCACACACTAAGAAATCAGGGACAGTGGATAGTGGCTGAGTTCACAGCACCAAGGATCAAACGGCTAAAATTCAAATCCTGGCTTAACTGCTTATAAGCTGAGTAGCCGGGTCACTTAACCTTTCAATGTCTAGTTCTACACTGATAAAGCGGGAAAAACAAGATTGAAAACATCATATGGTTTGGGGGTTAAATGAGAAAAATCTAGTGGTAATTCAAATTTTAGCGTACGCCCAATATCTGACATTAAGTATTCAACTAATGTTAGATACTAGTTTAACTGGGGACTAATTTATATTCTTTTTGAGTGAAGAAGGGACAGATTATCACTGTAGGCTGCACCCAGCATACAGGAAGCTCTTTGTACAGTTCCTGGGGCCCAGGATAAGGAGAGGAGTGGCCGAGGGAGGTGGCGGCACTGTGGGTCAGCCACGTGGGCACCGTTCTGTGTCCTGACTGCAGGGGTAGGTGACTGCACATGTGAGGAAATGACACAGAACTGGACACACGTTGTGACAACAAAGTCCTGGTTTTGACACTCAGCTATGGTCATGTAGGGCTAGAGGAAGAAATTAGCGGGTATTTGGAGCCCTTTCTGTGCTACCTTTGCAACTGCTATGAACAGACAATTTTTTAAAAAAGATTTATTTATTTATGCATACAGAACTGGGGTGCAGGCCAGAGGTACAGTGAGAGGATTCACCAGAGACAGAGCGGGGAGCAGAACAGGCAGATGGACAAAGTACACTGCTGAGGGGAGCAGTGGGCGGGTCAGGAGAGGTCTGCCACGCCATGTGGTCACCTCCAGGGCAGGCGGAGATCGAACTGACGCTGAAGTGGCTTTAGCTTTTTAGTGCTGTGCTTTAACCCACTGCACCAGCAGGGAGGGCCCTGACCATACAATTATTTTTAAAGAATCACTTAAAAAATGAAAGTTCTTGCTGAAAACTACCTAGAAAAACATCCTCCATTTGTACATACTAACTTTTGCATTCCTGTACACATACCTCAGAGCTGTCAAGACTCTCCTTCCCAGGCAATTTGGTTTCTTAGAGGGTGTGTGACCATCTATTTTGTGGTGAAAAATGAAAAAAAAAAAAAAAAAAGCCAACGCAAAACCCACAGAAAAGCTCATACCACAATTGGTCGCATCCAATCCTTAAGCAGAAATGGAGAATAGGAGTTTTTGAAGAACCGAAACAAGAAGCTCTCTGAAGCCTGGACACCTGTACCGTCTTCGGCGCCCTTGACACAGCAAAGGATGTCCAGCTGGTTTTTCTGAGAGGACAAAGAGGTACAAAGGTCACAGCCTCCCATTGCTTCATCTGCACTCTAGACTCAAACCAAAGAGACTGTAACCTTGATAAACACTCCCTTACCTCTTGCCGCTTAATGTCTAGCCCTAGGAGACTCACAAAGCAGGTGATCTGCAGGAGGAAGTCAATGAAGACGGCCATGCCGGCAAAGAGAGAGAACGTGTGCACGGCGGGCATCACCGACAGGGCCCCTGTAGGGGGAGAGGTGCTGCTGCGTCACTCGCGCTCACAGAGGGCGTCTTGTCTCACACGGGCACACACAGGCCACGCTCACGGGAGGACCCCGTGCCTCCACACAAAGATATGCTGCCCGAGTCTGAATGGCACACCAGAATTGGTGGGTTGCTACTGTCCCCCTGAAAGTCACTCCCACCTTGAGGCATGTATCAGCTGCTACTTTCATTCCACTTTCACTGAGTTTCTTATAATAGAGGTACAAAGAGGAAGTGCCATTTTTTTTTTTTTTTTTTTGGTCTGTAACCATCAAAAGGAACGACAAGGACCACAGATTTCAAAGCACATTGCTTTGCAGAAATGAAGAGTATTACGCTAACTCTGATGGCACGACTACCTAGGATGTTCTTATGAAGGTCGCAGGCAAGATGAGCCCTGGGGGCCCACACAGGCACTTCCATTTGTGGCCCATTTCTTCTCTAGATTTGCTGGGTAACTCTACTCTGGCCTCCAACTTTTAGAGATGTAGTCAGATTTCTCGTACACAGGCTACAGTAGGAAGACAGCCCCACTAGTAAAGCTAGTTGATTTCTCCATCAGAAAGAATATACAAGTTTCAATTTGTCCTAGCTCCTGCACTGAGATAAAAGCCTGCACTGTGCTCACTGATGAGGCTGCTTCCCCTGTGAGAGGAGCTCTGTCAACGAACAGCAAACATCGTGCAAGAAACTCCTGTGGGTTTTGGGCGGCTGCTCAGTGTTGTGTTGAGGATTTTGTGGCTATGCAAACATGCTCTTGCAAATCCCAGCACTTGGCACAGATGCCCAAAAGGGGGAGGGGCAGGAGCTGAGATATCTGCACCCCAACATCAATACTGTCAAGAAACAACGTGAGGAAGAAGACGCTTGCTAAATTTAGAGGTCCAAGATGTTGCCACCAATTTTCCTTTGGTTCCTTCTGGCAATTTCCAAAATAAAGCATTAGTCGCAGAGGGGCATCTTCCAGCACTCAGACTTCTTCTATTCTCAGGCTCAGCAAACTCTTAGGTTGGTAAGACTCCAAAGCAATTACCTAAGAAAAACGCCACGGTCTCGGAAAAAGACGACAGGAACATACTGGGAGCCACCTCGCCTAGGACCCTGCCCAGCTGCTGGTCCAGAGTTTCCCCTTGAAGACGTTCATCTCTCTTAAAACACAAAAGAAGCCATGTTAAATTTCTCAGTTATAATACCTCCTCATTTCTTTGCTGACCTGTGTTAACTCAATGATAAAGTAACATCCACTTACTGTATGTAAACTTTGGCAGGAGTTGAAACTACCTTTTTTTTTTTTAAAGATTGATTTATTTATGCCTATCTACAGAACTGGGGTACAGGCCAAAGGTGCAGAGGGTGAGAGGATTCACCAGAGACAGAGTAGGGAGCAGAACTGGCAGACTGACAGAAATACACTGCTGAGGGGAGCAGTGGACGGGTCAGGAGAGGTCTGCTGCGCCATTGTTAATCACCTCCGGGGCTGGGGATCGAACTCACAGCTTGCAGGGCTGTGCTTTAACCCACTGCACCACCAGAGGACCCAAAACTACTTAGTTCAATCAGAGTATTTTAAAGCCATGAGCTAGGTTAATAGTCTCCATGCAGGTCAGGGCTACAGGACAAGGGTCCTTGGGAGAGCTAACTTCTTGAGACCATTTTCTATCATTAGCAGGTCCTATGCTCACCTTTTATATTTTTAGTGGCCCCTTTAACAAATTATTTTTTTTTAATCTTTTATTCTTTTATACTATGGTCAAGAATTATTTTAATAGCAACTGCATACAAAATATTAACCCTTTTTTACATACACTGTTGCACATTTTTAAAACCAGCTTCTTATTTTATATCTATTCTGCCACTAGCTATAACCAAAGAGGGGGTGAACTTGGAACCAAATGTTGAGAAAACACATTGATATGCAACACATGCAAATATCCTGATGGGAGCCAATCATTATTGGAGCGCAATCCCTGGATGCCATACTCAATGATTATAAAAATGTACCTGGTAGGTCTGGACCAGAATGAAGATGTTGTCTACCCCAACAGCCAGGACCAGGAAAGGGATGACTTCAATCACAATGAGGGTGAGGGGGATCCCAATGTAGCTGAAGATGCCCAAGGAGCATGCCACTGAGCTCAACACAATGAGGATACCCGCGATGCCCAGGGAGATTTTAGAATCCACCTGGGAGATGCAACAAAGACACGAATGCTGAGATCAGGGGTTTCTGTCCTGTTACCGAGAGGTCCGCATTTTTACCACTTTATATGGGTTTAGTCAATCCAGAGTTAAAAGTACAATTCCATGTTTAAGAGGAGATAGTGTGTCTGTCTTCTCCAACAACTTATTTTATGAACTTATATTCTGAGACGATGGAGTATACACATCAGAAAAATGTGGATTGTGAGAAGTGTTAAGTTGGAGGTAAAGCAAAAAATTGGAATTGAAGAAAACAGATGCAGAGAATAGACAATGTTACATACTTAAAAGAATTTAAAGACAGTTTTGAATAGGAGTTAAGATTAAACAGAGGTAAAAATAAGACATATCTTTGTCCAGGGCCATCTCTCTCGCTCTCTCTCTCTTACTTTCTCACTCACTCACTCATACCCTCTCTCTCTCTCTCTCTCTCTCTCTCACACACACACACACACACACACAGAGCACTTACCAGGAACCTGCGACAGCTTTTGATATGTCCCAAAGCTAAGGAAATATAAAGAAACATGATGGCATAGCTGATTACAACAGTGAAGATATCACTGTTACTTTCACGATTTAGTTCATCTTCAATACTTCGTTCAGCAGTGAAAGAAATGGTCAGATTTGGATTCTTATAGTTTGCCACAAAATTAATAAACCTAAAGAGCAAACAGAATTTTATATTTTTAGTTACACTTAGTGAAAGGCTTCTTCCCAATTCTGTTACACACTGACCACACTTAACTTTTATTTCCCATTTGACTCTTCTATACTGCAGACTAAAAGGTAAATTCCCAGACATGCTGATTTTCCTAGCATTCAAAACAGACTTAGAACAAGTTTAAAAGCTGGTTCATGGCCCCAGTTTTTTTTTTTTTAACTAAAAATGATTTCTAAGTAAATTATACAGTTCATGAAACAAAAACTTATTTCATCTACAGATTTTATGCAATCCTTAACAGAATCCCAGATGTTTTCCTTGTAGAAAAATTAGCTGCTTCTAATATTCACACAGACTTGGAAGGGGCCCAGAATAGTCAAAATCTTTGTTTGTAAGAACAAAGTAGAAGGATTCACACTTCATTTCAAATTGAATATAAAACAACAGGAATTAAGACTGTTCATAGGCACAAGGATCGACATAACATCAAAGAAACAAAATTAAATATCGAAAAATAAATCAACAAGGGTGGGAAGAATTATAAAATGGGAGTGGTCTGGGATAAAGGGATAGCCACATGCAAAAGAATGGAGTGGAAACCCGATCTTATTACCAAGTGAAAATAATGATGCAATTTAAATCTGATGTTCGTTAAGTTAGCTGAATGAAGTGCAAGAGCTTTCGGCAAGTGTTCAGCTCTCCACAAAACATATACAGGTTGGGCCCTTCCTGGTGGTACAACGGATTAAAGCACAGCAGTATGAAGCTATCTGCAGCTACTGCAGCATGAGTTCAATCCCCAGCCAGGGAGGTGATCCACATGGGAGGGCAGACCGCTCTTGTCTCTCCCGCTGCTCTCCTCAGCAGTGTCAGTTGTTCTGCCTATTCTGCTCCCCACTTTGTCTCTGGTGAATCTTCTCACACACACCCCCTGCCCCACCTTTGGCCTGTACCCAGTTCTTGTATGCATACATAAATAAAAAAATCTTAAAAACAAAAACAAAGATATCCAGGTGGTTTAGACCCTGTGAACAACTCACTCTTCTTCCCAGGCCTGGGCCTTCTGGAGTCTCTCTGTGTCGTTATAGTAATTATTGACAGGAAAGGTAATCACCAGGGCTGTGGCGTTATTGTAGTTTTGATCTAGGAAGGAAAAATGTGACATCAATAAATGTACGCGTATGGATAATCAGGTAAATACAAAGGGCAAATCACAAGACATCCAATTGACTTTGATTTCTCACTGGGGGCATGGATTATATACCTCTGTGCTCCAAGAACAAACAGGAGTCCCCCAGACAGGTCTGTGTAGTTCAGTTAGTAAATAAAAAAGATTCTCTATCTGAAGTAGGCAGAGTTACCATTCAGGAAGAGTCACTTTTTTTTTAAACCACTATAGAGCATGTAGGTTGTAAGAATTTCCAACAGCAAGGTCAGGAAAGTCTCTTTCCTCAGTCTGTTTTGATCTCAGTTCTTTCTTCCATATTTTGATTGACTATTTGCAGATAATTCACAAACAACCTGCACATATTTCTCCTCTCTCTCCCTTCTTATTCTCATACACAGTAGCGTGCATTTCTGCATATTGCACTTTCAAATTTGTATCTTGAGAGTGCTCCATTTTAATACATATGTAACTTTCTATGCCAATCACATTTTCTTTTTCCTGCCATGTAACATTTTCTACTATAATTTAACTGACTTCAACTCATGGATAATTTTGCAACTTTTAAACTAATGAGTAAAATTACTACAAAGAATAACTTGATATCTTAAATATGTAAAATACAAAGTTGTGGAACTGATTCTTACAAGTACAGTCACTGAATCAAAATAGATGTGCATTTCTAAATTTGATAGATTCTTCCAAATTGCC